TGGACCATCGAACTGTTTACAGCAATCAACACACAACATTTTACTCGTAGAAAAATAAAAAGGTATTATATGGTTCTTGATATCAATGTGGAACGGTTCATCGTGATAGTTCTTCAAATGGTGTATCAAGTCCTCCAATTTCTTTAACCTAGCATCACAGTGCACATCCTAGTGCACAGCAGGCACTCTAAATTAGTGACGTCCAAATACACGACGTATTTCGACAGTGACGAAATGCGTAGACATTCCGGCTTGTCCATAACGTGCACGAACAGCGTGTGATCTTTCAACGCAGCCGGTGTCGAGTACTGATTGGTGCAATAACCGCATGCATACTTGGATCCAATGCGAGATCGGATCGGTGTCGCGTTGGAGTTCATCAGAATATCTTTATGTTTTCGAAGTGAAAGTCTAGCTCTGAAGTTTTCCTCGCAGCGTCCGTCGCTTTTTTCTTCTGCGTCGTCCTCTGCGGTCCGATCGTTATGAATGTGGAAAAGTTTGTTTTCCTGTCAAGGGTTATTTTCTTTGTTCCGTACATTTCGATATTTTGTTTCTCTGCATCTGTAAAAGAAATCTTATTTGTTGTATTAACATTTTTCTATTAAATATACTTATTCTATATTCATTTCCATAACCTCCAACAAGTATTTGCCTTGCCATATTTTGCATAGATCATGATGGCTCTACATCCAAGATTCAGTAAATTAAAATATAAGAGTACTATCGTTTAAAATATCAAAATCCAAAACAATAAAATCCAAAAAATATTTAAAAACAATAATACGCATTGGAAAAGTTTATAGATGTGTGCGCTTGTTGCACAAGCGAAACACATCGAAGCCTAAATCGCGCTATCAAAGTTCTGAAGTAAAAACAGTATGTATAGAATAGCTCTGAAGTATCAATCTGAGCGTTGGCCGCTCCCCGTACCGATCAACTCGTCCAGCGGGCGATCTTCCCTTTACCTTCCACGGCCATAGATGCGTAAGTATTACCCGGCTGTCCCAGGAGTATGGTAATGTTTTTCGAATGTATTTATGTAGCTTGCTATTTGAAGTCGACGTGACATAGAAATTGCTTCACGCCAGTATATTTTCTATGATATTTTATTGAAATTTAACATTCGAACGATAGTGGTAAAACCGCATATCGCACATATTCACACGATTCTTCTCCATCATATGATGCTTTTTAATGTGCCGAGTGAGAGCTCTTTTATTTTCGAAAGTGCACTCACACAAAATTGCCAATTTTGTAGCACACTTGCTTAATTACGTACGTATTTTACTGTCGCTTTAAATAGTGACAACATTTGAAGCTAACCGACGCTGTGACATCGCTAGTGACAGACTTAGTGTAGTCTGAAGATTAAACCGGCGATACAGATAAGCTGCTACAGTGCACGTGCATCTGCTCTTGCAGTGTTTTACAGTTGCTGAATTCAGTACGGCAAATGGCACATTGCGACGTTTCTGAGTCGCACTTAAAAGGAATTATTTTGTTGGGTATATCAGTAAATAATTGTGTTTTCTTGTGTTTTCTTAGATGAACCGTGAATTGGATCAATTTATTAAATACCTTATTACATATGTATGTTGCATTTTAAACCCGCGATGTAAAATTATTGTTATAAATCAGTAAATTCGGTATTCGCATTAAGTAAACGTCTTTATGCTCTTCTTTATAATTGCTATATTCGTACGGCAAGTAGAATCATTTTGGACACAAGTTACAACTGTAGCTTGGACTGTTCTTTCCACGTAGGTATCATGCTAGCGTTGGAACACGAGGGCGGCACTAAAAGTTTTTAGAACGAGCCGCTTGTTCAAATTTTGAAAATAGAACTCTTTGCCAATATTATTGCATATGTATTTTATTAATTTGTCATTTGTTTAGGATTTGGCGGCAAATTGAAAATTTTCTGCGTCACGTCAGCATGAATTTAACGCGAGAAATTTTTTGTACTTTGTTTTATGACTTTCGATGTCATTTATGTTGACTGTGTGCTGTTTATCTATTTTGAACTTATGCTTAAGTAGGGATTTAATTTTAATAATTGTAGGATCCCAAGCGGATGGTAGCATCTTCTCTATTGAAATTAAGATGCTTTTTTGTTTTCAATACACTCGCGAATCATCCTTGGAAGGAATCGGTGTTCTTTATCGAGGATTTGCGGACTATCACATCTTATGTAGTGACCTGCGTGTTCCCAGACCGCAGACTTCCCGGAGCGTCGATTCTTCACATCAGCTATGTGTTCTTTAAGACGTGTTTTTATTGTTTTTTTTTTAGTTTGTTCTTTTTATAAGAGAACAGCGGCTTCAGGTAGCAAATAATAGAGTATATAAATAAAGGATATAGTTTTATTTTAATTTTTATGTAAATATAATTTATTAGTGCTAGCAATACTTGAAAATATTTTGTTGTTTGAACAGTTTAGTTACAACAGACTAAGAAAAAGGTGATCATACAGTAGCGTGGCATGGATAGCTGCCGCCTTCTAGAGCCAAAAATGCTGTCCCTTATATGCATTGTATAAAGTTATCTATGCCCTTCGCAATTCGCATATGCGTGTCTCTGTGTTTGTGTGTGATTGTGTTTGTGTGTTCGTGTGTGTAAGCAGACTATCTCTATTTTCAGAACTTTCAATTGTACAGTATTCGTTCTGTTGTTAACAAAGGTATTCAATAATAGCTAACATATTATTTTTATATTTTTACTGCCACCATTTAAAAAGATAAGGGAAGGCGTGAAATGACTCATCCACAAAATACCACCCGAGGCAACGCCTCTACTCCTTTCTACACCACTGTGATCATAATTTTATTTTGAAGCTAAAATTAATCATGTATGTACACATACATTGTAATATATAAAATATTTTCCTTTTAAAATGACCAACATAATACATTTATTCACTATACGTATATACCTAAACATTCAATATATCTACTAATTTACCCTAATCTAGGAAGGATATATACAATTCTAATAAGTATCTAAATAAATAAAATCAAACTGATCGATTGTATAAAATAAAATTAAAATCTGTTAAAAACAAAAAACAATATTTTTATCAGTCTAAATAAGGTACGTGAGGGTAGTATGGTCACCTTAAGCTTTGCCGCTTTATAAAACCTAAACTAGAAGAAGGACAGAGACAAAAACACAAAGTCGTATACTATAACTAATATATTAAGAAAAAAATATCAAACAAGCTCTGGCAATAACTAGGAACACTTCGAAAATAATCCTAAAAAAAAACTAATGACACTACGCAATACTAAGATCGACTAAAATATTTATTATATTGTCAATTATCGAAACGGCGTCGACAAAGCAGCGCCTTTTCGAGCTATTTTTATTTGTTTTTGATTGACTGATGAAGAGCTATCGTATCATAGAGCCATCTACGCATACAAGGCTGCAGTTTTGGAGTTATAAGAAAGTGGTCACTTATTGTATTGTTGAATGCCATAGTTGATGTCTGATATATGGCACTAGCGCCATCTATTATCGAGTAGCAGAAATAAGAGAGTCAAAATGTTTAGTAGCAGAACTAAGCTTTCTTATAAAATTCCATCCCCAGAAATTTCTACATTTAGTCGGTCGGAACCGGTATGTGCTCGAACATTCTAGATATTTCAGTAAAAAAGCCGGTAAAGGCCGCGACCGGGGGAGTATTGAATTAGCAATACAAGCGAAGACTTCGGAGCAAAATAAAGTGAACTAAAGTATAAAGTGCGTTTAATTATTAGTGTGTTTGAAGTTTTAATTGGTGTTCGGTAATTAAAGTGTCAATTATGGTAATTCAATCAGCAGTTTTTATTGTCACGAACCCCAAAATCGTAACAATATTAACAGGATGACCATATTACCCTCACGTACTATATTAAATTTTCTAAGTGGTTTGTCACATTCTCCGTCTAGCAATCTGCCTGGGAAGGTACCATCCTCTTGCCTATTTCGAGCACTGCTGTGTTCCTTGCCGAAGGGTATAGAGCCAGTATGATTACAGGCATTACATCTTAGTTCTCAAAACGAAACAACACATCTGTAGCTTTCTTATTTGAAATCGGTTCCAGGTTGGTTATTTACGTGGTAGAGCCAGGCTGCAGCTATATTATAGTTGTAGCACGAATGGGTTGGCTCGACCGGGGCAGGACCACGCTCTCACAAATTACAAGCGTAAAATAGCAGTGTAATGCTTCTGTGTTTCGGTGACGTAATTAGCTTTTGGATGTAGATGATAGATATAAAGCTGCAACACCAAACTGCATTCTCCGATTTTGTTATAAGTTTTCTAAATTGCCTCCCACTATGGAAGCAAATTTAAAGAAGTATTCACATACATATTTTTATGAACGTTACCGTAGTAAAAACAGAATAGTAGGATCCCTACAGCGCCACGCGAATCTTAAAAGCTTACTAATGCAGAGTTGTCACTGTCTTTTTCTTTAAGAGCTAAATCTCATTTAGTATTATAGGTACCTATGGATCATATTTGTTAATCATTTCTTTAGTCTCCTCTCAAAGAATAAATGTTTGTCAAAAAACATTCAAGCTTTACATTACAACAAATTCCAAATAACTAAAATAATGAGTATTAAGCAAGTGTCGTGTGCGTGCTGTGGCTCGTGCGTACGAGTTCGTACTGTCACGTATCAGGCACGCAAAAATATTAGCGGTTTTCGGTACATTTCTTAGAAGAGAGCCTACTATTCTGTTTTTACTATGACAATACAAAGAAGTGCATACGGTACTTCGTATCCTTTTTGTCCATTCGTGGTTTTAAATATTAGTATATCGGGTCGCTTATGTTGATAACTGGAATATTAAAGAATATCACTTGTAATTGAATAAAGGTGTAGTTACTTATGTATGTTCTGTAGACATAATTTGTGCTAATTTGTCTTTTAAATATCGTCTAGAACCCATAAAGCTAACAAACACGCAGACAAACAATCCACACCTATTTTTCACACACACACAACTAATTACTAACGCTCCATCAAATGGAAATTCTTGATGTGAAGCGACAGAGTGCGTTGGTTATCAAAAGTCTTTTCGCACGCGTAACAATGTAGAACAAGTGGTTTCGCTCCATGTTCCTTGACCTCATGTTCTTGCTTCTTGGTATAATCTGAGAATCTCTCTCCGCAATACCCGCATTTGCTTCTCTTGTTCAGACACACGTGGACCGCCCTTTCGTGAGCCCTTTGCTTCACTCTGTTGTTAAACTCTTTCCCGCAGTAGGAACAATGGTAGACACCGGTCTTGTGCCGATAACCGTGCATCTGCGAGATCCTCTTATTAACAAAGCCGGCATCGCAAACGTCACAGACATAGTTTCTAAAGTGCATGTTCATATGCTCGAGCAGCACCTTGAAGTTGTTAAAGATGTGTTTGCAGACAACGCAGCGCAACGTCTGGCTGTCGAATCTAAACGGTACAATGTGGCTGTTGATATTGCTGTGATGGGGAATTCCGTGGTCATCTTTTAGGTGTTCCAATAGGTCCTCAAGTTCCCAGACCTCTTTGCTGCAGATTTTGCAGTGCAGATTCGTTATGTCCAGTTTGATAAGTAGAGTCGGCATCGCTTGACTCTTCATGAAGCTCGATTCGAAGACGTCGTTGTGCGTGTCAAGCGTGTGCTGTTTCAAATCTGCTGGATCGGGGTACTGCTCGTCGCAAAAGCAGCACACGTAGCCGATACTACCGCGGCAGCGTATTGTAGTCGCGTTCGAGTTTGTCAGAATCACCCTCAGGTTGTCAAGGTGGAGGTCCAGTTCGTTCTTCTTCCTCAGCAAGATCTGTATTTCTGGGGATTGCTCTCTCTTTAATTCCACGAATTGGTGTTCTTGGGACGTGAGGGGCTCCGCAGATATTTCTATGTATGCTATCTTCGGTTTCGTACGTATACCGGGAGAACGGGGACCTAGAAACAGATCCAGTGTTATTATTTGTCCTGTAGAATCGTATTTTCTGTTTTCTACTTTTGTAGTTTACAATATATCGCTTTAATGTAAACGCACAGTTTGCTTCACAACAAATTCCAATAGCCTTTACAACCCGTCAGAACATACTTTACTTTACTGTAGCTAAACATATAAATATAATTGAATAGTGTATGTCTGTAATATTGAAACAACTGTCTCATATATATTTTATATATCTTATATATATATATATATATATATATATATATATATATATTATTATATTTATATTGAGTGTGTAGCCACGCTGCAGCTATATTATAGTTGTATAGCACGAATTTTTCGGCTCGACCGGGGCAGGACCACGCTCTCACAATACCAGAGTAAAATTGCAGCTTAATACTGCTGTTTCATATGGCGAGTCTTCAGGAGTGACAACGCATTTGTATTTTGATCCCTAGTTGAATTTAAATGTATTCACTTACCATCAGGTGAACTGTGTGCTCGTTTAAAACACTTTTAAAACGTTTGTCTGTCTGTCTGTTCGGGCTAGTCTTCGAAATTGCTGAACTATCTAGCTATGTATCTATGAAGCTATCTATTCGTGAAGTTAACTACAAACTACACGAATAGATAGAGGGCAATGCCAGGAGTTATCTAGACTATTTTTATCCATAAATATGGGAGATTTTTTCTAAAAACTAAATGAATCGATAAATTAAAAAAAATGTTCTTTGACTATTTTAAATCTAAACAACGCAACTTTGAAGTAAAGTAGAAAACAGAAAATAAAGCTCAAATCTTCTTGTACAGCTTCTTGTGCAGTATTTCTGATTATTTTTCTTAGATGTCGGTGTGATGAACCACGATTAAGATCACACACTTTTACAATTAAAAACAGAGGGTTTTATGAAAAATGAAATCAGATGATTGTCTATTTATTTATTTTATTTTCAAAGAAGAAACTACGCGACGTAGACAATACGCTCAAGTGATTAATAATGGATTCAACCTTAAGTTATGCTATATTTATGAGTTACTAGCTACTCAGTAAATGAGTATGTTTTTACTTCCCATGAGCTTGAGTTTTTGATTTAAAGTTAGCATTAAAACACAAAACATTCGAAATTTTCATTTTAATTAAAAATCTTCACAATTAATCACGGGTCAGAGGAAGTGAACAGTCTTCTTATGATCCAACATAAGACTCCTATTCACGAACCACGCGTCATCGCATAGTTCACACGAGTAGTTCTTGTAGTGGGAGTTCATGTGCTCCTGGAGGTCCTCAAACACATCGAACTGTTTACAGCAATCGACACACTGCATTTTACTCGTAGAAAAATCAAAAGGTATTATATGGTTCTTGATATCCATGTGGAACGGTTCATCGTGATCGTTCTTCAAATGGTGCATCAAGTCCTCCAATTTCTTTAACCTAGCATCACACAACATGCACTCTAAATTAGTGACGTCCAAATACACGACGTATTTCGACAGTGACAAAATGCGTAAACATTCCGGCTTGTCCGTAACGTGCATGTACAGCGTGTGATCTTTCAACTCAGCCGGTGTCGCGTACTGATTGGTGCAATAACCGCATGCATACTTGGATCCAATGCGAGATCGGATCGGTGTCGCGTTGGAGTACATTAGAATAAACTTTATGTTTTCGAAGTGAAAGTCCAGCTCCGAAGTTTTCCTCGCAGCGTCCGTCGGTTTCTTCTTCCGCGTCATCCTCTGCGGTCTGATCGTTATGAATGTGGAAAAGTTTGTTTTCCTGTCGAGGGTTATTTTCTTTGTTCCGTACATTTCGATGTTTTGTTTCTCTGCATCTGTAAAAGAAGTCTTATTTGTTGCATGAATGTTTTTCTATCAAATATACTTATTCTATATTAAGTTTCATTACCTCTAACAAGTATTTCCCTTGCCATATTTTGCATAGATCGTATTGGTTTTACATCCAAGATTCAACAAACCAAATTCATAAGAGTATTATCGTTTAATTTCATCCAAAGAATATTTAAAAATTATAATACATATTGGAAAAGTTATTAGATGTGCTATCAAAGTTCCGAAGTAAAACCAGTATATAATAGCTTCGAATTATCAGTCGACTGCGTCCCCCTTTCCCCATTGAGGTTGAAAGGTTACTTTTGATACGGCAATAAGGCCTTACCAGGTCAAAGTCCGTCTAAGGTGGTGTTTAGTGGGTGGTGAATGCTCTAAGCATACCATATATAGGTATGCTTAGATCATTCTTATAATGGGTTTATCTTGCGTAAAGATTATTTAACTTTTGAAACAGTTGAGAATACAAAAGGAAGATATTTAGCTAATGCAATTTTATCTGAATTTAAATATTTGGGAGTAGATTGCGAATATTTAGTCGGACAAGGATATGATGGAGCTTCTTCGATGAAAGGAAGTTTTAAAGGTGCAGGCAGTAATTCGTGAGTCACATCCTTCCAAGCCTTGTACGTTAATTGCAGCTTACATTCATTGAATTCAGCTCTGGGTCATTCTTGCCAGGTTCAGCCTATTCGAAATACTATTGGAATTATAAAATCGGTTGGAAATTTTATCAAGTCATCGGCAAAATGAACCAAGTGTTTAAAAGATAATATCGAAAAAAACTTCCCTGAAACACAATGGAAAAACCTCACGGCAATGTGCGAGAGCCACTGGGTAGAAAATTATGATGGGTTGTTAAGATTTTAAGAAATTTATAAAGCTATTGTTGATACACTAGAAGACAAGCACTGACGGATTCTGAAACATCGTCAAAAGCTAATTCTTTTCTTAGATCAGTCATTTCAAGTGATTTTGTTATAAGCTCATGTTGCTTAGGAATGTTGTTCCCGTACACACTGACACGATACAAAATTCTTCAATCCCCCCTATGTGATTTGGCAACCGCGTTACAACATATCGATTTAATTATAAAGACTATTCAAGATGTTCGACAAAATATTGATTCAAAATTTGCTGAATTTTTCAAGAATGCACAATTCTCTGTTCTCAGTACTGTAAAAGAGATAACGAAAATTTCGCGAATAACGCGAGCGTGGCCTACGAACAAAAGATCCTGAAACTTACTTTAGAATTACTATAATGATTCCACTTTTGGATCAGTTCATTGATCAGCTTCAGTCAAGATTTCAAAATCATAAGGCCACATTATCATCTCTCAACATTTTAATTCCATCTGTGTGTTGCAAAGAACAAATTAATCAAAATTATCAAGAATATAGATGCTTTTTACTTATGCTTTTGTATTCTACTTTGAAATGATAAATAAATAATTATAAAATTAATCAGATTATTTGAACTCTTTTTTTACGTGAACTACTTTGAGCTCTATAAAAAATATTTAGAATGGGACTTTGTAAAAGCTGAATTAGACATGTGGCGGATAAAATGGGTGGAAGAATCTGACATCGATCAAACAACATGTGCTATTGAAGCTCTCGGAGAACGCAACCAGGCGATATTTTCAAACATTTACAAACTTTTAAAGATCTTGGCGACACTGCCTGTTTCTACATGTACTACTGAGATTACTGAGAGGAGTTTCTCTTCTCTGAAACGCCTCAAAACTTATTTGAGTTTGAGAAGCTCCACAGGCCAGGAAAGACTAAACGGTTCGGCGTTAATGTCAATTCACCGCAGAATTTTATTTTTATTTATTTTTTTAAATTGACATCGACACCGTGGAAGTAATTGATTTGTTCGCTGCAAAGAAAGCTAAAAGACTAAATTTAATTTTGTAATAAGGTGTTAATCACAGATCATAGAAACAACAGGAGATATGGCCGGTAGTTAACGCCAAAAAAAACGCCACTCGCCAACAAACACAGAAGCAAGAACAGCAAAAAATGCAGTTGAGTAAAATCAATAGATACATAGTCGTGCACACACCCACATTTCATAAACCAGAACGTACAACATAACCAATTATAAACCTTATCCCATCAAACACAGCGTGCATTTACTATGCACCGTACAACTTACTCCAAAACATCTGTCGCTATCGTTGTGCCGTGCAAATTAAGCCATTTATTTTACTTAAACGCTAGTGATTGATTAAATCGGAATGTTATCGATTCTTCTATTTAAAACTGTACTAATGATTTTATGGGGTCCTGAAAATAAAATTAATAAAAAACGATATGTCCAGAAAATATTATAATTAAAATAAAAGATATGTAGTTTTCTTATTCTTTTTTTATTTAGGAACTTACGTTATTTTTAACATGTCAGCCCCATTGTACCTTATAACTAAATAACACACTACAATTTCTTAAATTATTTATACAAAATATTAACTAAATTATATACCACATGAGCAGCATTAGATAATGGTTCAGACAGAATGCTTTGATATTCCCCTACGTTACATATTTTAATGTCAGTTTTGGCAACTAATAGTTTCCTTTCATATTGATTTTTGGAACATTCCGCGAGCAAGTGTTGTATATCTTATATTGTCTTGCATGTATCGCAATTTGGAGATTGTTTCTTTTTCATCATGAAAGCAAACTTGTTACACGGAATGTGTCCGGAACGAAGTCGCATTGCTAATACAACATATTTTCTATTCAACAGACATTGATTAAACCAAGACACTTTCGGAGGCTGACTCTGGATGATTTTGTACAAAATCCCTTTTTCTTGCGATCTTTTATTAAAATATTCTTTCCAAAGAGTATAACATTTCTCTTTATATTTAATTAATATTTCTGAATAATCAGGATTAATATTACATTATCTTATCTAGCTTATCAGCCTCCTCATAGCCCTGTAAACCGATGTGAGAAGCAATACTAACTCACGGTTTTTACACTGAAGTTTCAATATTTCATTTAATGTCAAATATGCTATCGATACACCTCTGAGACCAGAGACGCATCGAGCAAAATGTTCAAGAGCACTCTTGCTATCAGTTAGAATGACTGTTTTTTGAAAATCTGTTGTACCAGCATGTAATAGGGCATCATTTATAGCAATTAATTCAGCTGACATTATCGTAAAATTATTAGGAATTTTAATTTTACTTTTATTACCCAGCAATGAGTCAAAATAAGCGGCACCTACACCATATTTGTATTTGGATCCATCACAGAAAATTTTGTGCCATCCGAAATAATTAACATTTAATTCATTTATTACATTCGACTTTAAAGTATTTATCCCTGGCATCTTTTAGCACCCTTGATACAATTTAAGTCCTGTTTAATTACGTTTTTAACATTGATACTTAATACCCAAGTATTTAAAGAGAACATATCTAGCGGATCCGAATAATACACACTATTATTATGAACTTGTTCTAATGTAATTGCTTGAAGTGGTTCCTTTTTATTTTGCTAGTACCTGTCTTGACAGAATAAGCTGAGTTCTGCAAATAGTTTAATAGTAGTATTATTAGTTCTAGATTTACCTTTCATACAATATTTATATTCTTATATATATATATATATATATATATATATATATATATATATATATATATATATATATATATATTATATAACGTAGTTAAAACAAAATATTAATTACGTTCACTAGTCACCAAAATACCACACAATTTTTTTCAACTTCAATGTTAGGACCGACCATTTGAAAAGGCGACGAATTTTCCTTTAATGGTTGAAAGCACGTTCACTAGTCACCAAAATACCACACAATTTTTTTCAACTTCAATGTTAGGACCGACCATTTGAAAAGGCGACGAATTTTCCTTTAATGGTTGAAAGCACTTTGATACACAGTGTTTTTACAAGTTTGGTTTTGGTTTGGTTTCCTGTGACATTTATTCAGTTTTCTTTTATTTTTGGATTCTTCGGATAGCTGAAATTTTATAATAAAAGCAAGATATGAATGATTATGATGATAAATGAATCATGCATGAGTACACACGGCTACACATCAAGCTAAATATTTACAATTTACGCTAACCTCGCATTGTACGAAAATCCTATACAATGCGAGATCAGCTTATACTGGGAATGAATAGCTTGATTGATGTATGGCCGTGAGTGAGCCACAATAAAGTAAAAACCAATAATTTATCTACACTTTTTTACATTTTATCAGCTATTTAATGCCCAGTTTCTGAAGTTCCTAGTTACCTATATTCCCATTAGCCTTTGATTCAATACAAGATAACCCTAGTAATCAAAAAATATTATTGATTCAGCCAATATTAAGCAATAAAAAATACCAACTTTCTATCTTGCTGTAACCGCTTGCTTGCAATAACCGTTGTTATTTGTCTCTATATTAATATTTTTTGTTTGTAAATTTTATACTTTATTAGTAAATACATAATAATAATGTCCTCCAGACCGAATTTAGGCCACGGCGGCCTGCCTCAACGGAGACTAGCCATCGGCGCAGTACAGGATTATAGTGCCCAAGTGTATGCGCAAGGACAGGTGCACTCTCTTTTCCCTCACTCTCATAATCCGATGGCACTGTAAAACCGACACGACCGGAGAAGGACCACGCGCTGGACCAACGGCTTTACGTGCTTTCCGAGGCACGGGGGTGAGACACCGTCAACTTCCTGACTCCGGGCAACTACTGAGAATTTCTTGACGGAAAAACTCAATAATTAATGTTTTGGGATTCGAACCCAGGATCTCCTGATCAGCAGTCGCACTACTACAATCACTAGACCTACGACCAATAACGCCATAAAATGTGCAGTGTAAGGATACACTGTAGTAACATATTGTGTTTTACAATAATTGTGTCATGCATAATCTATGTACTGAGCAGAATAGTATAAAATATCGATAATTACAAATATCACATCACATCTCTAACTCACAAAAGCCGGCAGCGGCCGCTTCACGAAACTATTGTGTGAGTGAGAGTATCAGTAAAACACTTATCCATTGCGCTATTAGACCAGCCGAATCACCGGTCGATTTGTACTAAATAAGCAATGGTTTTCTTTCCTAATGAAAATATTTGATTTGGTTATACATCGTGTTTCTAGTACCACGAAGTAATGTTTTAATGAATTTAATAAGAAAAACATAAATATTTTAGTACTTACGTGTGAAAAGAGATGCCATCCTTCATGTAATTCACAATACAGCTGTTATTTTTGCAAACAATCACTGAACATCGCGGCATTTTGTCAAAAATCACGAGCTGTGAAGACGTCGCAAGTTGACATTCGACTAATTACTGAAACTGGCATCCCGCCAGTTGCGTTCGCAAGCGCCACGCCTCCTTGCCATATCTCCTGTTGTTTCTATGACCTAAGATGTTAATATTTCTGTAATGGTTTTCTAATAAATATTTAAGATAAGTAACACCATTTTATTTATTTCATTAAAACGATTTTATGTTTTCAGTACCGCAAATGGCACGTCGCAACGTTTCTAAGTCGCACTTAAAAGGAATTATTTTGTTGAGTATATCAGTAAATAATTATATTTTCTCGTGATTTCGTAGATGAACCGTGAATTGGATCAATTTATTAAATACAGTATGACATATGTGGCATTTCAAGCCCGTGATGTAAATTTTTGTAATAATTCAGTAAATTCGGTATAACGTCTTTATGCTCTTACAGAAAATATGATTTTTAATTCGTACGGCAAGTGGAATCATTTCGGACACAAGTTACAACTGTAGCTTTGGCTGTTCGTTCGTTCTTGGAATATTTCTGTAGATTTCATTATTGTTAAGATTTACCTGAATTTAGTCTGATTGATACAAAATTTGATATTGTTACGCAAAAAGGATTCGACTCATACTAATCTAGTTGTATATGTAAATATAATTTGCGTTGCGGTCAATAATAAATTTTAAATAAGATGGAAGAAATATTTCAGGTTGTAGTCAACTGCAGCTATAGGTATTAAGATTATGGCACAAACGCTGCTGGGTTTCGCATGGTAAGTGTAAAAGATAACCAGAGCCCTTTTTTACTGGAAACGAGGCATTTCATTTTAGTCCTCAGGGATGATAACGCATCTGCTTTTTGATTCTAGATCGAGAGTGGGCTACGGTATCTATATACCATCAGGTGGACTTTGTGCTGGTTTGTCACTTTTATTCTTTACAGCCTTATCTCGAATCAGATCTCAAAATTTGTGTGGGTTGTTTTTTTTACGCGACACGTTTTAAACTCTGCAAGCAGTTAAGTGATAAAACTCATATATATATACCTAACCTTTTGAGCGCCAAAGTCGCCTATACTTGACCAGCACCTGCGGGCCCTGAGCGCCAACGACGTCTATAGTTGACAAAAACCCGGCCCACAAAAATATTAAATATAGATATTGGAAAATTATTACTGGTATTTTAATTCTACACTCCTCAAAAAGAATAACCCAGCAACATGTGAGTATAAAAAACAAGTCTCCTAGAGCCACAAGTACTAAGAAACATTGAACTAAAAAAACAGCATTTTTATTTAAGCAAATACCATGTCCAGCACGCCAAAGTCGTCTATGTTTGACCGCTAGTGTTGTAATGCGTTAGGCATAGATTTATTAAAAACTATTCAAAATTAAACGCAAACGTGTTATTTTCTAAATTATTATTGATATTTGAATAAAACAAAAGGTAAGAAACATAAAACTATCATCAGCTACATTAATAAAAGAAAATTTCATCAAATCAACTTCTAATAATAAATCTAATATCTCATGTCTGGCGCATCTATAGCACATCGCCGATTATCAGTTCATTGGGCGCCGTGATCAAGGATAAACGATACCCTGATGACGTCATAAACGAATAACGGTAAAAGTAGTGCAGTGCAAGATGAACGATTCCTCAGAACTCATTCGCATTTTGGAAAGCGTCATTGATGATGATTTTTTTTTAATAATATAATAATCTTAAAGTATGAAGAAATTTTTCATTTTTATTTTTTAAGCATATCAGACCCCTATTGTCATAAGAGCGTAAGACTTTTCTTCTGTGCTTCACTTGGCCTACGCCTCCCCCGACACAATAAAATATTTTGAGTCGATCTCTGTATATTTTGGTTAGATCGATTTCGAAATATATACTATATATAATTTCGATACACAACGTGCGACACGGCTACATCTCTAAGAAAGCTTCAAAAAGGAAGGTCAGCTACGCCGTTGTCGTCCAGTCGTGACAGTGACGTCATCACGATGAAGAGTAGTGCTGTGGTATACTACTATTTTATTGTTGTTGTTTGTTTTTTATTTATGTACAAAGTACACACACACACACACACACACACATATATATATATATATATATATATATATATATATATATATATATATATATATATATATATTTATATTTATAAAGAGTGGAAGACAGCACAAGATTAAATAAAACATACCAGATTATAAAGAGTCATTTATTGCATAAAAAACCAACAAAATCAAGTTATTTTGTGTTATCGATATAATCAACTCTTGGCAACACTATTTCTTTGTTAGGTGTTTTTGTTTACTTTTCGCTTTGGCGTACAGGACACAGTAATGCGTTTTTGGCGTGGCGCTCAAAAGGTTAAAGAAGAGTCTTTGTCACGAGAGAATTCCTTTAGCCGCGGCGCCATTCTCAGCGATGACATCAGCTGTCAAATTCCATACTATTTTTATAGGATATTTTTTATAGATAGACAAACGAGCACACAGTCCACCTGATGGTAAGTGGATGCTGTAGCCCATAGACATCTACATTTATGCTCGATTAAGAATCAAAATGTAGATGCGTTGTCACCCCTGAGGACTAAGATGGAATGCCTCGTTTCCAGTAAAAAACAGTCTCCGGATCTCTGCACTCACCGTACGAAACAGTATTAAGCTGATATTTTACGCTGGTATTCTGTGAAAGCGATGTACTTCCCCGATCGAATCGACCCATTCGTGATACAACCATAATATAGCTGCAGCGTGGCCGTACCACGTATAAATAGTTACTTATTGAATCAGACTCCCATTTTAGTCGCTTTGGTTAGTTGACGACTTCGTGGCGCAGTGGCTTAGCAATGAGTGGCTGCGCTGGGGTCGCGTGTTCGAATACCACACGGAACAAGTATTTGTATGGCCTATAAATAATTGTTCCGGGTCTGGATGTTAGTCCTTGTGCAATTTATGTTTGTAAACTGCCCCCACGATACAGGAAAAAATCCTAGTGTAGGGGTAACGTTTTTCCTAATAAGAGAGGTAAGAGAGAAAGAGAGTCTGTGACTAATTAGGTTATTTTAAGTTTTATAGGACTATGTTGTCACCGTCTTATTACGCAGTTAATCTTGTTTTAGCATAACCATTATACCATCCATAAAGATGGAGTGACGACCTGGTAATACATGCAGAAAGTCGACGAATGCAGGTGGCTCAGGACTGTGCTCTGTGGCATGTCGGAAGGCCTACGTTCAGCAAGTGGACTTGTGTAGGGCTGTAATGATGATCATGATGATAATTATACAACCAGCAACTGCTGACTTCGGTGGTTTTTATGAACTATCTTCATTGGAAGCCGGATCATTTTAAAGTATTAAATAATATTTAGATAATTATGATTACGAAGCGATTTTTGTTCTTGATACCTAACACGAATACAATTTGCACTTACGAACAATGACTTTGATCATATCAATGAACTCAAACACACGGTAGTAGGTTATAATATTGAAACATGTTATATTTATTTATAAACCAATAAATAGTGAAATAAAAAAAAAATGGAGTATAATTGTATTACGTAAATAAACAATGGGTGCGTTTGGCAGAAAAAAGCGCTTGCAAGCGCTTGTAAGCAAAATGGCGTTCGTAAGCGGTAAGCGCTGTTAAATCGTAAATAGCTATTTTCCTCCAGGACACGATGTTAGTTTTAACCGGGGAATCTAACCTAATTTAAATATATGTTTGTAAAGTATTCATATTAAAAACTTACCAATCATGAATTTTTAATAACATGTATATGTCTATTTATGTCATTATATTACTTAAAACTAATATTGCTAAAAACAACTTATAAACTCTACTTCAAAACAAACAAATTAAATAAGCAAAATGGCGGATTGTGTCAGCGCTACTGAAGTAGCAATCGTGTCCTGGCCGAAAACTATTTTAGCGCTTATAAGCGCTTGCTAGCGCTTTTTTCTGCCAAACGCACCCAATAACTGTTTGTGATTAAACATTCTCGCCATGTTTAGAGCGCATGTGGCCGCGCCAGCTGCATTTCTGCACAAATCCTTGACCGCAATGTTCGCATTTGAAACGACGATCATCAGCATGAATCCGCATGTGCTCCCTCAAGGTGTTCTTCCTGCCATATGACTTGTGGCACACGTCGCACATATATTCCCTCAGCCCCGTGTGCTTTGCCATGTGCTTTTGCAAACAGCTGCTGCTGAAAAATTTCATCTCGCACTCCGAACAGTTGTGCCTCCTTTCCAGTAAATGGTCCTTCTTCTTGTGTCTCGACAAAGCCCTCTGATTATTAAAAGTTCGCTCGCAGGCTTGACATTTGAGTACAACTGGTGGCGCACCGTGTACTTTCACCATGTGATCGATTTTCTTCCAGTAATCAAGGAACCTCTCGTTGCAAATCTGGCATTTATTTCGCTTGTTAAACCCAAGGTGGGTTCTGTGCTCGTGCTCGCGTCGCTTGTGTTCGCTTGTGAAAGTTTTATCGCATTGGGTGCATTTGTATTCGCCATTGCCGTGACGCTTAACATGGCCTTGCAGTAGTCTTTCTGTCACGTAGCTTCCTCCACATATTTCGCAGGGATAATTCCTAAAATGTGTATTCATGTGTTCCTGTAACAGTTTGAATGTAGCAAATTCAGTTGAACAAATAGCGCATTTTAGTTCCGGCGTATCGAACCTGAAGGGCAGGATTTGGCTTTTGATATCAATGTAAAGGTCTTTGTCGTGTCCGTTTTTTAAATGGTGAACGAAATCGTCGAGTTGTAAGAAATCCGTATCACAGAGCGCACAGCACAAGTACGTGATGTCGAGTTTAACAACATTTTCAAAAAGCTTACTCGACATATATTTGATGAGTCTATCACTATTGTGTTCTTCTAAGAAGTGTTTCTTTAAATTAGTCGGCTGTGGGAATTGTTTCGGACAGAAAGCGCAGCCATATCCAAAGCTGTCTTTGCATCGGATTGGATTCGCGTTTGAATTCAGTAGGATGATGCTCAAATTGTGCTGGTTTTTCTTCGCCTCAGAGAGGTCACTGTTACTTCTCACTGTTGTCTTACTTTTTGATATAAACTTCAATTCCACCGGTTTTGTATGCCTTGTTTCTATTTTGATTACTCTTCCCACACCTACAAAGAGAAATTCTTATTAGTGCACTTTATAAATATAGTCTGTTCGCTTAGATATGGTCGCCTTTGTGTCGCGTCACCCCGGCACGTGCCGCATCCTGTCAAAGGCGCCGCCACGACATCAAAGGTTGCCGCGTGCGACATACACCCCCGCAGGAGAAATTGGCTTATTAAAACGAAGCGCCGTATTTCATACAATAACCATAAGAGTAAAATAGTATTCTATTTTATTCTTAGAATCGAAAAACATTTATTTAACAAACACAGTAAAAAATAATAAAATAAAAGCAAAATAATAACGTCGCCTCCGGGTGTACCGACACTATCTTTGAGAACAGACTATATCCGACAGCAGGTTTCGCAGGTGGGATGATATTTCCTCAGGATAGTGAAGTTTTTCGGCTCAACACCGTTTAAAACTTCGTCATTTTTTTAAAACTATAATTTAATATTGCATTTTCTAAATATTGACGTAAAAAGAAAATCTTGGTTATAATGTTAAGAAATATGTGATTAATTTTCTTATATAATGGATAAGAGCGTGTATTCAAGTATGGGCAAGTCAAAATCTATACAATCGCTTAAGAACGGCGGAATATTAATGCACCCAACAATGTTCTCCAAACTCTTTGTGTGCGTGACTGCGCGAGCGTTAAGTAACTAGCACAAATCATTTTGACACTATTATTTGTTATGATTTAATTTTGTGTATTATAATTTAACTGATATCGCGTATCATACGCACAAAAATACATATAGTCGAATTAAGACCGTACGTTTTTTTTTATCTGGCTAAAAACCACTTGGACTGTTACGACGTACAGGCGCTGTCAATGCAAAATTGTAACCGTGGCTGTGATTCTCAAATGTGTGTTTGGTGGACATTACATGTCTTAGAATTTTTTTAACTTAAATTTCTCTGACATGCCGATCTTCCCTCGATATTTCCTTTCACCACCGAGCACTTATAATTATTGCAACTAACAACTTCATTGGCGCTGGCGAGGATGGAACCTTAGCCTAGCTTTCTATACGTCTTTAGATACGTCCTGCCGCTGGGAGGACCTGGAATGAACTGATCGGGTTAGACATGTGTCAATTATGAAATATTCAAGACTATATATTCTATCATATACCTTTAAACGAGCAATTCTTGTATATATATATATATATATATATATATATATATATATATATATATATATAATCGGAATATCGGAAACGGCTCCAACGATTTTCATAAAATTTTGTGTCCAGGGAGTTTCGGGGGCAATAAATCGATCTAGCTAGGATATATTTTTAGAAAATGTCTTTTTGTCCGTGTTTTCAGGCAATGAAAAACTGCTACAATATAAGAAGGTAAATTTTGACACTGTTAATGATCGTAATAGCTCAAGAGAATATCGAGCGGCCACGAAATCGTAATGCCTTGGTTCGCATCCCGTCTTCGGTCCGACTTTTTTCCTTTTTTTTTCAAGTTGCATTCTTTTGTGAGAAAATCTATTATTTCAAGCCCTTTTTTTAGTATTTTTTTAAAATACGAAAATTTAAATTAAACTAATTGCACTCATGATTTTTTATACAAATAACCAGTTCAGTTTTTTCTATTATGTCAATAAGATCAAAAAATATTATTCATGTTTCGTCACTATTTAATTTGTATCTAAATGTAATTTCAAAAAAAAATCGAACAAAGCTCGGTCATCCATTATGATAACGCTTAAAATAAAGTATTTTAGCTCATTTTAATGATTGTATTCGACCTGAAAGATAAATCTGGCGCATATTTTCGTAAAAGCTTATGGAGGGATAGTCTTCGCTCTAAAAAACCGTCATTAAAAACTATGACGTTGTTTATAATTTTTAAAGGTAATTATTTCACAGGTAAGATATGAAAGACAATTCATTCAATTGTTGGTTCGTGGTAGAGCCACGCTGCAGCTATATTATGGTTGCATGAATGAGTCTGCTCGACCGGTAGAACTAGTCGTTTCGTATGGTGATCGTAGAGAACCGAAGACCCTTTTTACTGGAAACGAGGCAATCCATCTTAGTCGTCAGGAGAGATACTTAATTGAGTATAAATGTAGATGTTCATGGGTCACGGGATCCACTTACGATCAAGTGAACTGTATGCTTATTTGTCACCCTTATTATATAAATAAAAGTAAAGTTATAGCCTATATACTTCCAACTGCTGGGCAAGTTCACTCTCATTTCTTAGAGGGTTTAAGGCAAGGAAGTGTCCGCGGCGATAATGAGAATTTTATTTAAGAAAACCCGCTTTTGACAACTATATATATATTTTAACAAAGAAATACATTTTCCAATAAGTTGCATACGATTCCTTCCCATCTAACGGCTTCTTCCCAGTGGACTTTATACATGCTTAAGAAGAAGAATGTTTGATAATAAAAAAATAAGATTATATGTAAACTTTTCAATAAACTGAGAAATGCCAAACGCTTGATACGAAATTCGCGCTTAGTTATGTTATTATTATCCAAGAACGGTTTTTTTTAAATACCCTGCGAAGATACAGTGCTAGTTTTCATCGGACTATCAGTCCATCAAAGGGCGTAGTTTGTGTAGACAAAAACTTTGTAGTCATTCAAATCATCCAAGCTTCGTGAAACTTCAGCGAGCGACCGAAACGCGTCGAGATTTTTAGCCTAGTACAAGCAACTTCCGTACCGGCCAACAGGACGTGGGCCGCTGTTTATTGTGTACATTTGGCACCAGGAATTGTCTATAGTAATAACATGATATTTAATTAACACGAAGGCCTTTATTACAAAAATCTATATTTACATAGATTTTGCTTAAAAATAGTTGTTCAATTGTTAGTTCTTTAACAAATTCTCTCCATGTTTATCTAAGACATGCTTTTTCAACTTAGCAATCTGTACAAACGTCCAACCACAATGGTGGCACTTGAATCTCTCGTCGTCTGGATGCAACCGCCGTATGTGTTCCTTCAATGTTTTTAGTCGTCCATACGTTTTGGCACAGACTTCGCATCTAAACTCTCTCAAGCCCGTGTGTTTCACCATATGATCCGTCAGTTCACGTTTCGCATAAAACGCTTTCTCACATCTATTGCACTTGTGCTGCCTTTGCATTAAGTGATCTCGTTTCATGTGAAGCAACCATCTCTGCTGAGTGTCGAATGTTTTATCGCAGGCTTGGCATTTCACTCCCGGGCCGCGTACTCCGTGTACTCTAGCCAGATGTTCATTCTTATTCCAGTTCTCCTTGAACCGTTCGCTGCAGTAGCCACATTTGTGCGGCATATTTGAATTATGGACGATCCGTTCGTGCAGTTTCTTCATGCGAATTGTTTTAAACACTTTGGAGCACTGTTCACAGGCGAAAGTCCCTACCTTGTGCCCGTCACTGTGGCATCGCAGCATATGTCTATTCACAAATCCCGCGTCGCAGATATCGCAGATGTAATTCCTGCAATGGTTGTTCATGTGGACCTGCAGTGCATGGAATTTGTGGAAAACGTTCAAGCAAATGCAGCAACGAAGATTCTCTGTTTCAAACTTGAACGGTATCATGTGATTTTTTATACTCAGATCAACATTTTTATTGTGCACGTTCTTTAGATGTTCCATCAATTGTTCCAATGTGTCGATGGATGTATTACAAATTTTGCAAGTTAGTGCCGTTATGTCTAGCTTAACGAAGTATCCGTGCATATCTCTCCCTTTCATAAACGTGGATATAACAATGCTATCGTGTTCCTCTAAGGAATGTCTTTTCAAATCATTTGGGTTTGGATATTGATCATTACAGAAGCAGCAAGCGTAACCAATGCCACCTCTACATCTGATTGGAGTAGCATTAGACCATAACAATATTTCTCTCACGTTCGTACGATGTTTTTCTAATTCTTCACCGTGTTTTGTTCGAGGTTCATCAGGTTCCATTTTAGAATTTTTCTTAGCATCTAATGATTTCCTTTTTCTACAAGATTTTTTGCACTCGCTCTTCTCGTCCGCGAATTTTGTTTCAGATTCGGTTCGACTTATGAGCTTAGTGATTTTGGTACGCGGTAAACCTACAAAGAAAATTATGTGTTTAATGAAGTGTGAGTATTTTTTATTACAAATTCTGAAACGAATGCAGTATGTTTAGTTATTTTATATATCTTTAAAGAATCAAGCGAATTAACAGTCCAATTTGTAGGGAAAGTATCTCCTACAATTAACGTAGGAAATTTCAAGACCTTAATAGTTTGTTATTTTTTTCTGATCAGGTGCAACGTATTTTTATCGTGTTTTGGTAGTTTGTATCAAGAAAAATAATTCAACAAAATTCGTCTGCTTCGTAAGAACCTTATCAGATTTGCAGGAAGACGATGCTCGGAACTTGTGATCTGTAAAGGATATTTATGTAGTGTATATAAGAGATACCTAAGTAATAGAATAAAATAAAAAAAGGTTAGAATAATTTGAATGTCAAAATTTTATTTACCACAGGTTAAGAAAACATGTCTGTCCTAAAAAGAAAAAAAAAAGAAAATGAAGCGGTATTATATTTTAATATAAAATCGTTTGCAAACACGCTAGTTTTGTGGCAATTTTCAGCTACAACAATTGTGTAGCCTATATCCCGGGCACAAAGTGCAATGTTGCTTATCCTATAGCTTCTTTTTTTATTCACGTTTTTGAACCATGCAATTGCGGCGATACATTTGAAGCAATATTGCCGAAATATACCCTACAAAGCGTTGCACAATAACATTGTATACCTATATATAGTTCTCAGCAAGATTTCAAGCAAGATGCAGTTTTTGTAACCCGCTCTTTAAGTTATTTTTCCGGATAGTACCGGCGTGAGAAAATCCATTACCGTAAAGCATAACAAGGATATCGCAAGAGGCGACAGAGAAACTGAAACATGAAATGGACAGTAGCATTTTCCTGAAAACAAAGTAAATTATAAAAATGCCAAGTGTGGCAACTTTGGCACATCTGTGGGGCAATCTATGGGGGAAGCCCATATTCATGAGTGGACTTAGTAGATTGTAATAAATAAATCAATAAATTATTTTAAATAATAATAATAATGTATCACATTTATTTATATGAATTAGAAACAACTTGCCAAGATCACCTCTTTCTCAGGTATAATTTTTTTTCATTATTGTATTTCTCAATAGGACAACAAATGATAACGTTTTTCAAAATAGTTTCAATTTTATAACTTTTTGATTGACAACCTGCTTCATTGACATTAATAGCAAAACCACAAATGATTGTGTGAAATAAAATAACTGCCTAGTTGTTATATATATATATTTATTTTAATTGAATACATTCCAGTTCTACACTGCGGTAGCGTGCTTAGCGCGCATGTGTCCCCGCCACGTGTTCTTTTGTATGAACGCCTGTCCACACAACTCACATTTATGTCGCTTATCGTTCATATGTATACGCATGTGTTCGTTAAGTGTTTTTCTCACGCCGAACGTTTTACGACAGATGTCGCATTCGAATGTACGAAGCCCGGTATGGGTCGGTAAGTGTAGTCGGACCTCTGCCATAGAATAGAAATGTTTATCACAGTTCGGACATTTGTGGGGTCTGTGAACCAAGTGCAATCTTTTCAGGTGTATGCTTAAACTGCTTTGGGTATAAAATGACTTCTCACAGGCTTTGCATTTTAGTGGCGGAAAGGCTTTCTCGTGAGCTTCGGCCATATGCCTCTCCTTCTGCCTGTAGTACTTAAATTTTTCGTCGCAGTACGGACATTTATTTTTCAGTTCGACTTGCGAATGAACGCCCTTCTCGTGGCTTCTTTTCTTTCGGAACGTACTGAAAACTTTCGGACAGATATCACATTTGAACGTGCCTAGTTTGTGGATCTGAGAATGCTCGTGAAGCATAGACTGACACACGAAGCCCGCATCGCACTCATTGCATTTATAATTACTGTAGTGTTCGTTCATATGCTGTCGAAGAGTTTGGAATTTCGGAAAGATTTTGCCACAAATATAGCACTTAAGGATATCATTTTCAAATTTAAACGGTATCAGTTGAACCTTAATATCAGTGAACACTTTTTTCTGGTGTACTTTTTTTAAATGTTCCAATAGCAGCTCAATTGTATCAATTTTTCTATCGCACAGTTTACAACATAAGCCTGTGATGTCTATTTTCATGTTGAAATTGTGCATGTCCTTGCGTTTCATGTATTTAGTTTCGTTGATATTCTCGTGGTTTTCTATACTGTGCTGTTTTAGATCCGCTGGATTAGGATATTGACCATTGCAGAAGCAACAAGCGTAACCAACGCTACCTCGACATCTGATCGGCGTAGCGTTGGAATTACTTAAAATCTGGTGTACATTAGCTCGATGCTTTTCAATTTCTTTCCACTTTTTAACAAGCGATTCTTTTATAGCTTGTTTTTCTACATTCTTTTTTGTTTCAATTAAAATACTATCACGTTCTTTTCTTTCTTCTGTTTCTAATATAGATCTTGAATTACCTAGAAACAAAGATAAATTATATTAGAAAATTGCAAAGCAATTTCGATTTCTTAAAGTTGCTTGTTTCGTTCCTCTGTTTTAGTATTATATCCCTTGTCAGAAGTTTACTGAATTTCAATCTGAAAGCATTCCTAGCGCCAAGAAATGATCCAACGTAAATTCTGCTGCAGTAGACGTTGCTTAAAAATTGAGATGCGAAAGAGTAGCAGACATTTGCGGCCACAGTTTTAGCTCTGAATCTGTGCTGGAGGCAGCAGTTTATACTATTTAAAGGTCTTTGCGTATTAGCCAATAAAATGCCTACTTGCACATATATATGGTATATAATTTTCTTTGCATTAAAAATGTTGGAATTAGTTTTCTCGTGTAATTACAGCAAAGTAAAGTAGAGTTACAGTTCCACTATGTACGCCCCACGGCTGCACACAGAGGGTCATTTCTCAGAGGGTTTTAGGGCAAGGAAATATCAGCCGTGCTGCCCAAATGCCTGTTGGCAGACTGCACATGTCTTCAATTTTAATTTCTCAGCCATGCAGGGGTCCTCACGATGTTTTACTTCACCGGCGAACACGTGTCAGCACTTAAAATTGTAAATAACAATTTCATTGGTGTCGGCGGGAATGGAACCCTGATTGCTCGCGTAATGTGAAATTTACAGCGAGCGCTTGGCCCATGAGCTAACACGGCTCGGAGAATACGGTGAGAAGAAGAGTTCGGGAGCAAAACCTGACACCACACAAGCCCGCGCCGGGACCAAAACTCTCTGCATCTCATGGGCAAGCAAGGTTAGAATTTGCTAGGCAACACGTGCAATGGAATCTTGGTCAATGGGAGACAGTTCTCTTCAGCAATGAAAGCCGAATGACCCTAGTAGGCTCTGATGGACGTCGTAACGTTATGCGAAGACCAGGAGAACGTAATGCTCAGTGTTGCATAAGAGAAACAGTCCGGTTTGGAGGAGGCTCTACAATGTTTTGGGGTGGCATATCTTTATCCAGATGTACTGAGTTGGTTTTCTTTCGAAATCATGCGGTTAATGATGAAAGTTACATTACGGACATTTTGCAACCTCATGTGATGCCTTACGCTGGGTATATTGGGGACAATTTTCAACTCATTCATAATAACGTAAGACAGCACGTCGCTAGAAATGTAACTGGATATCTTGGAGGTCGGAATTCCAGTTATGCAGTGGCCAGCTGATAGTCCGGACTTAAATCCCATCAAGCATTTCTGGGACCAGATAAAAAGAAAGGTTATATTAGGCCCGAAATCCAGTTCCCGAGACGTTGGATTAACTGGAAGTCATATTAACAGAAGAATGGGAACAGACATCCCGAGAAGACATATAAATCTGATCCGTTCCCTTAATAGCGGTATTCAGGCGGCGATAAAAGCAAGAGGAGGAAACTTGCCATATTAGAGTAAGGTTTACATTTTTTTAAATGTTCAAAAATGTAAATATCAATTTTGACAGTAAAATCGCAAATTTTGTAAAATGTTATGGTTTCAATGTCTCATTACATTTGTAAGTAAAATATCCCGTTTCACGCGCCGTTTTTAAGTTTTTTACAACCCTATAATTGTATTATTACATTATCATGATAAAAAACATTTATGGATTGTGGTAAAAACCCACAGGACACTTTTTTTGCGAAAAACGAAGGTGGGTCGATTTTTTTAAGGCCAGTGTAGTTTAGACGAATATATGACTTATAAAGAAATCTACAATAACTGTAAATATTTAAAAACTGATGAATTTTTTGACATTTTTTTAGATATTTGACATTTATATATAAGCATTTACATACTTAATAAAATTTTTGAGATGTATTTATTGTAATTTAAAAACTTGACGCTAATATTTTAAAATAATTACATAATTATTTTTATTCAATAATTTAATCTCATTAAATTGTAATAATAATATATTTTTGTATATTGTCAAGATATTGCACGCCATTATAATAGTAGAATGTAAGGTCTCATTAATAAATAACAACATTATAATATTAAGTACTATATTCTGGCAATAAATACATTTAAAATGCTTAAAAATTCATTATCGTCGCCAAGATACACTGTCGCCTTTAGCCGTCACAACCCCTGATCAGTCTTGTGAATCTGCTTGACTGGCAGTGAGAGAACCCCATCACCTACACCCTGACATCTCTGTAACCTTAGGTCTCATGGTGTAGAAATCAGCTTTAAGTAGCATCATAAAAGTATTTTTTTTTTTTTAATAATAATAAACATCGCCAAACTGTGCAACAGTTTGTTGGCGATAATGGCGCTCTTTTGTTATACATTAATATGTATTTTTTGTTACATACATACTTATCTTAGGTATATTTATTACAATAAATATCTCTATCTTTAATTAATACTTAAGTTAATATAGGTAGTACATTATACTTTTCATAGGAATGTATTTTTTCAGTCTTTTCTTTAATGTTACTGTGCTTATGTCTTTGGACGTATCTCTTATAAAATCTATTCTATTATATATTAGCGGAGTTAAATATTGCCTAGTTCTCTTACCATAATAGTTTCTTATATGTGGTATCACATATTTACCCTTCTCAACTTGCCTGGTACGATATTTATGCGTTATAGGTTGTTTAAATTTATTTATTTTATATTGTTCTAAAGCAATTAGGTAATCTACCTTTTGATGCACTGGAAGTATTTTACATATATTAAATAATTTGCCATAATTTTTTTTACACTGTAATTTTATTTTTTAATTACTAAATACTTAAGTAGTCTAATCTGTAAATGTTTTATACGATCTAACTGTGTTTTGAATGAGTCATTAAGCGTATCGGTTAATAAAACAGCACTAAATATACACAAATATTTTTATTAACATATAAAACTATATCATTTTCCATAAACCAATAAACTAAACACTTTCGCCGTGCTTCGCGCGCATGTGACCCCGCCAGCTGCACTTCTGTACGAACGCCTGACCGCAGTGCTCACACTTGAACCGTCTGTCGTCCGCATGGATGCGCATATGTTCTTGCAACGTCCGCCTCCTCCCATACGATTTATGACAGACGGAACATTTGAAATCGCGCACACCCGTATGCTTCAACATGTGAATCTTCATTTCCCCTGAAGAGAAGAACGTCATTTCACATTCCGTGCACCGATGCCGGCGTTCTACCAAGTGTACTCGCTTGATGTGAACGCTTAGATGCTTCTGTCCGGCAAACGTCTTATTACAAGCGTCACATTTCAGAGTTTGTGATGGCACACCGTGCGTTTCCACCAGATGTTTCTGCTTCTTCCGGTAGTCCCTAAACTTTTCGTTACAGTAACCGCATTTGTTGAGCATGTTGGAGTGTATGTGAATGCACTTCTCGTGGGACTTTTTCTTCCGCATCGTGTCGAACTCCTTTGAGCAGAAGTCGCATTTGAATGATCCGAGCTTATGTCTCTCGGAATGCTGGAACAAAATGCCACGCGTCACGAAACCGGCGTCGCACACTTCACAAATGAAATTACGATAGTGTATATTCATATGCTCTTGAAGAGTTTTGAATTTGTTGAACTTGTTGCTGCAGAGAAAACAGCGCAAAGTCTCGCTGTCAAATTTAAACGGTAATATTTGGTTTTTAATATCAGTGTGGAAATTTTTGTTGTGCGTATTCCTCAAATGATCGATGAGCTGCTCCAAGTTGTCGATGCTGCTATCGCAAACTTTGCATCTTAAGTCGGTTATGTCCAGCTTGACGTAAAACCTGTGCAAGTCCATCCCTTTCATGAATATAGTCACATTAGGGTGGGAGACGATTGTGTGCTTTTTGAGATTGGCAGGGTCTGGATACTGGTCCTCGCAGAAGCTACAAGCGTACCCAATGCCGCCATGACACCGTATAGGTGTCGCATTGGAATTAGCAAGAATTTCCCACACGTTCATTCGATGTTTCAACAGTTCTTTGCCTTTCTTAACTTTTTTTTTCGTGTCAGTCTTTTCGCCTTGTTCCTTTTTGTTTTCATTTGTCATACGTTTGTCATATTTGACTTCGGATTTGACGGTACGCAGAGTACCTACAAAGAAAAGGATAGTTTAATGAATTTTGAAATCAGTTGTCTCTTTAAGTTCTTCGAATTCAATAAATAAATTCCCTTTAAATTGCATCCGTTGTTGATCATTTTTAGATTTGAGTGGCTTCATTAAACAACTTTCGGCAGGCAGATTATTAACTATACAATATTAATCTTTATATATAAAAATTACGTGTCACATTGTTTGTCCGCGATGAACTCCTGTACTACTGAGCTGATTTCAATTAAATTTTGCACACTGTATGCAATTTGGTCCAACTTGAGAGATAGGATAGTTTTTATCCCGATAAACGACCCTCAGTATTTTTATTACAAATTTAAGGATTTTTTACACCACAAAGGGTCGTCAGCAGAACAACGTTTGCCTGGTCAGCTTATTACTTATAAAATAATTGCTACTTGTTAGTTATAGTTCTTTTTTTTAAATTCCCGAGACAATGCAATGTTTCGCAACATAAAATAATAATAGATACGAGAGTACAAAACTATCAAGCGTTAAAACTCCCCAATTTTTTCAAGCAGTATGAGTATGAGGAACTGCGCCGGCAACTAGCTTAAGTTATTCCTAGATTCTAAATCGTTGACGTTATTCTTATACGTGGTAGAGCCATGCTGCAGTTATATTAGTAGTATAATTGTAGCATGGATGAGTCGGCTCGACCGGGGAAGGACCACGCTCTCACAGGAAAAGATCGTGAAATAGTAGCTTAATGCTGCTGTGTTACGTATGGTGAGTGTAGAAAACCGGAGACCCTTTTTACTGGAAACGAGGCATTCCATCTTAGTCCTCACGGGTGACAACGCATCTGCATTTTGATTTGTAATCGAGGATAGATGTAGATGTCTATGTGCCACAGCACCCACTTACCATCAGGTGGACTGTGTGCTAATTTGAAACCCTATCCTATAAAAAAAATTCTGCTCATCGTGGTAATTCTTCCAGTAGAGTGACGTTGCAGCAAAGCTGCCCTATGTTGCATCGTGATTTACTTTGGTGATATTATATTGTATTTAGCATTCCCATTACAGCCTATAAAAGTCCACTGTTGAACGTAGGCCTCCATAAATTGCCTCAAAGGGGGGATTTTGCCATAGTTGCCACGCCTGGCATATTGCAGATTTTTTTTAATTATTTTGAGTTGTTATCAGGCAAATGCTGCTGCTCATCTCCTGCTTCAGTTTCGCTCTGTATTTAAATACTTGTAATGCGTAAACTTCTAAAACGTAAAGTAGTTACTAACAAATGTTCGTTTGTGTAAATAGCTGAGATTGTTTTGTAACATATATTGTTGCTACTTTTATGAATGTCAATAAAACTTCTGAACTACCTACTAATACCACTGAATATAATAAATAAAATACAAAATACTACATAATTATACGTGGTAGAGCCACGTTGCAGCTATATTATGGTTGTAGCACGAATGGGTCGGCACGACCAGGGATGAACCACGCTCTCACAGAATACCAGCTTAATATTGCTGTGTTTCGTATGGTGAGTGTAGAGATCCGGAGTCCCTTTTTTTACTGGAATCATTTATATATATATATATATATATATATATATATATATATATATATATATAAACTACTCAAAACAAAATAGGGCCCACCATGTTTTATAAATGATTTCAGATTCTATTTCTTTTTTCGGTTTTTATGATTAGGAATGAATAAATTAAGGTTTTTGAAAGTGTGTGAACATTAAAAAGAGTAAGTTTTGCCAATTTTATGGAATTTAGTCAAATTTTACAGTTTTTAGGAAAGTTTACAGAAATTATTGATTTAAGTAAAGTTTGATTTTGATTTTTATTATTGACTAAATCAATGAGTTTGATGGTGCTTAATAGCGAGTAGGTCCTCCTCTGTTCCGTATGCACTCTCTGAATCTATCTGGGACACTTTCAATCAAGTGGGTGATGTTTTCCTCGGGTATTCGTTCCCAACACAATTTTTGTGCTCTTGTCGATTAGTCACATTACTGAAGTTCGATTTGAGGCTTCTTTTCAATTGGTCCCATAAATGTTCAATGGTGTTAGGATCGGGACTCATGGCCGGCCGTAAAACCGTAATATTGGCTTCAGAGAGAGCTCTCTGGGTTGTTCGCGTTGTATGTGGGCGAGCATTGTCTTGCATAAAGACGAAGTTTTCACCCACTCTTTGTGAAAATGGGATGACATGGGGCCGAATAATTCGATCGACATATCTGGAGGCAGCTATGGAGCTTTCTTCCAGAATTACCAGCTCAGTTTTACCGAGCAAGCTTATTTCAGCCCACACCATAACATTTGGACCTCCAAAACGATCCGTTTCATGTATGCAAGGTTCTGAAAAACGTTCTCCTTCTCTTCTCCACACGCGCACTCGACGATCATCGCTGAAAAACTTCACTTTACTTTCATCCGTAAAGAGTACATTTCTGCAGTTGTCCATTGTCCACTCCGCATGCTCGCGAGCAAACTTCAAACGTGCTGCACGATGCGCTCTTGCTAATTTTAGACGAATAACACGAGATTTGGAACGTTTTCCGTCTTCATGGAGCCGATTTAGAATGGTTTGATCACTAATTCGGGTGCCAGTCGATTGCCGCAGTCGATTTTGTAAGACGCGGGCGGGAATCGTACGCTCTCGACGTGCAGTGAATCTGATATACTGGTCTTCCTGGACGGTTGTAGCTCGCGCTCTTCCTGATCCAGATCTCCTCGCGACACTACCTGTCTCTAGAAAGCGTTTCCACACGTTTCGAATAGCTCGTCGCGACACACCGAGACGTCTTGCCACTGATCTCTGAGATTCTCCCTCCTGAAGCATAAACACTGGTCTTGTTGCTGTTTCCACATCCATATGACGCCGAGAACCAGGCGTAATGATCGCGAGTAACACCGAAATCAAGTCAAAATGAAAAAAGTAGACGTGCGACTGGAACATTCAGAATGTGACTGAGGGTACAAGTGACTGAGAATTTGAGTAATAAACGTTTTTTGGAGTACTTCACTTTTTTTGTCAATCTACCATTGAATTCCTGACTTGAAACATTGATATCGTTAGATAAACATGTCAACAATACTTCGAAATGTCAAATAGAACTTCACTATTCTACTACCCAACAATTTTTTTAGACGAATTTCAGGATTAACTTAGAGGGGGCCCTATTTTGTTTTGAGTAGTTTGTATACATCTTAGTCCTCAGGGGTGACAACGCATCTGCGTTTTGATTCTTTAATCGAGGATAAATGTAGATGTCTATGGGCCACGGCATCCACTTACCATCAGGTGGGCTGTGTGCTCGTTTATTCTATAAAAAATACACAATATATTTGTTTTAGCGAAAAGATAATGAAATCAAAAACATAACTTTTAAAAAAACCCAAGTCTCCAAATTCAGTTCTTCTACCGTAAAAAGTTGTGAGATCAATGTGATACCAAGTCTGTTAATTTATTCAGTCCCTACTTAAGGATCCTTCTGTCTTAAGTTATTACGTAATTAGCCAACATAACAACATCTTATTGCGAACATATCAATATTAAAAATCTTTTATGTTTTAAATAAATGGATTGATTTGTTACATCGCAAGGAAACACAATGTATTTCACAAGTAATAAGTATTATATTAAATTCGATTGCTTAGTGCGATTGCAGAAAAAAATTACAGGTGCGTTGTCGCGTCCGAACTAAGATTGAATGCCTTACAGCCTGTAATTATACTGGCTTTCAACACTCTTCACACCGTACCATAGTAGTGTTCGCATTGTTATTTAGTGACAGAAATACGTAAGAGTGTGTTATCTACCCACACGGAACCCGGTCGGATCGTAGGCAGAGAAAAAAGTTTTTCCACCTTTAAAAAAATTTTGCTAAAAACTATGCGAGGATTCAAAGGGTAGGTTTGTTGACAATAACCAAATTTTATATTTTTTTTTGATTTTTGACTAAAATAACTCTTTTATTATTCAAAAAGCTTTGTTTATTTGTTTTAGTAACAAAAATCATAAAATCTGATCCAGGAGGAGGTGGGCAGCAGCATACCAGGAAAGGTAACGATTATAAATAAAAAGACTGCTGTTGACAACCCAAGCGTGGCAACTGTGGCAAAATTTCCCCAATGAGGCAATCTATAGGGGAGGCCTATGTTCAGCAGTGGACTTTTATTGGCTGTAATAGAAAATTTAAAAAAAAAATTGAATCAAACAAATTTCACGGATTTAATCGCGTTTAACTGTTTTTAAGAATAAGGTATTCCTAAAAACAGTTAAACGCGATTAATTAAATATGAAAAGAAGTCGGACGCACCTTATTCCGATGTATTTGGTTTGTAATTCCGAGTGTACAAAATGAAAAGTATAAAGGAAGGAAGAATTACATGGTATTCAAGTCCCTATGAAATTGAAAGTAGTATTAGTTAATTTTAATATTTTTCGTGCATAATATAGATACAGGGTAGCGTCGTTTATTGAAAGTACGTATATCAAAAATAAATATGGAGATAAGTCCATCGTCAAAACATGATAGTCGTATTTGTCGTTAGGGACCAATTTTACATTAATTGTCACTAACACTGTCAGATTAAATAGAGTATAAATAATAAAACGCTGATGTGGTATTGATTTGCATAATTGAATGATTGAAAAGACACGTAGCACCATCTAGTTTTTCGGTAAGGTACAATATGCTGTAAATAACGGAATTTTATAACAATAGCTCAAAAATATTCATGACCAACGACCCGCCCCGGCTTCACCTGGATGTGGAAGATAATTATCAAAGAACATATCAATTTTCCGATCTCTCTATAAAAATCTCAAAATTTCTTGTATAAAATAGCCTATATTACTCGGACCTCTGTTTTTTAGGATGTATCCATCAATAACGTGAGGTATTTTGGAGAAGGAGAGGTTCGAGCCGAATATTACCCAATCTCACGTGAAGGAAAGGAGGGTTTGGCGTTTTTTTAATTGAGTTAAATTAAGTAAAAATACGGCTAAATCCTACAACAATAATATTTATCGCGGTTATTTAAAAATAATTAAGAAAATTATGTTTATTATTTTTAATAAACCCAACGCAATCAAGTACAGATTAACGTAGGTATAGTAATTCTATTTCACGATGAAGGTTGGACTTTAGTTAGCCGTGCACATACATATTGTGTTAGTGTGCGTAGAGGCCTCGAGAGCGCTCAGTCACCATCGCAGGTCGAACCAACCGCAGTTACACACCCAAACGCGCCTGTCAGTACACGTCACTACTACAATCAAGGCGAAACCTGCATTGTAAAATAGAATAACTATACTCATGTTTACACTAAAGTTGTTCAAAACGACTATAAATCAATAGCACGCTACAAACTATAAATTTCAAGCGCGCTATTAAATACGCTATGTTATAGCGCGCTATTTATAAGAAAGCGTGCAGGAGGCCGGCAAGCGCGTTAAGTTTTGCAGCACGCTATATCTCAGAGTACGCTACATTACATGTCGTTCATTGGATATACTTACCGCGTGGTATATAAGAACATTATTTCGTAATAAGACGTATTTTAGACTAAAATAAAATAAAGCGGTAAAGAAAAACTAATGAACGCTTTTTCATACTTTTTAGGCTTACGACTTTCTATAATTCTAAAAATATTTTAAGGCATGTATTTTTTAAAACGAAATAAAATAATTTATTTTTATTATAATTGATGTAAACGTTATTTTAACCCTAATATAAGTTATAAAATCAAATAACCGTGTATTTAAGTTTAGAGATTGTATTTATAAAAATCAACTATTTACATACACTATTATATCTACATTTTATTTACATTTAAAAATATTAGTTAGGCTTCTTTTATAGCATACAACTGTGTCCTTCGATCACTTATAAATATCAGTATACACTATACACTAACTAAACAACGTCTAACACTAAATTAGGTCGCGCGCGATGAATAGCGCGCTACGAGATCAAATTTGTGTCACACGTCCTCTCCCAACAGCGCTGCTGCTAGAACTAGTTGGCCGCTAGAAACAATATTAATACTTAAAAGCGCCAAAGCGTCATAGCGCAATAGCGCCATGGCGACTACTTACATAACACGCGCTATGTGTTATGGAGAGATAGCGCGCTATAATATGGCGCTATGCGCTATATTAACCACCATTAGTTTACACAAAAAATAGCCCGGACAGATAGACATACATTTTGTTTTCAAATAGTTATTCATGTCTTAACGGCATGTAAATAATACCCTTAGCTCGAAAAAAAGCAATTATTACGATATTTTACAGATCGACACTTCAATTTTATTTATATTTATAGATGTGTAGATATGTATAGAAAGTAGTAGCCTACTATGTCCTTCTTCAGATCAGACAGGCGTTTCTGTGAAATACCGACGATCGGTTCAGTGATTTAAGCTGAGAACAAATTATCGGACGCGTCCGTCAGCCGCGGCTGACAGACGCGGCTTATTGAAATCTAGCCAGTACATTTAATACTACACTGTGCAAACTATCGGTCTTAAGACGCGGACATGACCTGGCGTTGCTCTTGAGCGTTCGGACGTCCGAACAGAATCTAGCCGGCTGGATGTTTGTGCGTCCGCGGACAGTGTGAACGGGGCACGGGACGCGTCCGCGGACGTTTCGAGTGTCACAAGCGAACCAACTGCGCTCGCGACATGTGTAATGAAAAAAAAATTAATTGAATGTGTTCATGGCCACGAGTGCCTATATTTATATGTACATATTAGTACATTCATAAGTACATTTTTTAACGTTTATCATCTTTTTTGTAAGTCTGGATACAATGTATGAAATTCATCATACTCGAGTCGTTTTACATTAATATCATGGACAAGGAGTGTTTGGGTTCCCTATTTTTTGGAGGACGACATAAAGCAGCTGCCGCTAACCTTATAAATCCGTCCTCGCTGTCACGGTTTGTCATGTTTCTCGATTGACAAAACCTTTCTGGAATGACCGAAGCGAGGCGTCCGAAGACGCCGTCTCGACTACCGTGCACACCGCTAAGCCGCGTCTGTCAGCCGCGGCTGACGGACGCGTACGATAATTTGTTCTCAGCTTTAGTCTTTAATCTTTATTAGGTAACAAACAGTTAGTTTTGCATTTTTAAAATATTAGTGGCAGAACACGCTATTGCTATATTATACTTGCAGCGTGAATATGTCAGCTCACTAAGAACCACCTTACGCTCTAACAGTACACCAGCTTAAAATAGCAACTTAATCTTAGTTCTCAGGGGTAACTCATTGGAGCATCTAAATTTCGAATATAATATGTAGGAGTTTATCGGTCACAGCGTTCACTCACAATCTGATTGCTTTACACAACTGACTGTCACCCCTGGTTCTAAAAAAAAGCGCTTCTGACAACTTCATACATTTTGTCAAATAACACATTTTCCCATAAGTTGCACGTGATAAGAATTCCTTCCTTCACCGGGAGAGGACCATGTTTGGCAGTTGACGTTTACGGACTGGCTGATGTACTGGTACTTGATCGATATTACCTTTTGCGATAAAGATCTCTCTATGCCATCCAGTTTGAGATGTTTAAGAAAAAAAACGACAAGAAAAAACAAAACATTTATTTATTCAACACAAAAAGTCAAGCACAGAAAGCAGAAAAGAAAATAAAGTTTTTTTTCTCTCTCTTTTATAGGTGGTAGAGTCATGCTGCAGTTATATTAGTAGTATAGTTGTAGCACAAATGGGTCGGCTCGACCGGGGAAGGACCACGCTCTCACAGAATATCACTGTAAAATAGAAGTTTAATGCTGCTGTGTTTCGTATGGTGAGTGGAGAGAACCGAAGACTCTTTTCCTGGAAACGAGGCATTCCATCTTAGTCCTCACGGGTGACAACGCACCTGCATTTTGATTCGTAATCGAGGATAAATGTAGATGTCTATGAGCCACAGCAACCACTTACCATCAGGTGGACTGTGTGCTCGTTTGTCACTCTATCCTATAAAAAAACCCTAATACAAGATTACTAAAAGCGACATTCCTGGTGTCCTTATGTCATGGCAAATTCTTGATATATATATGTACACTAGAACTGTAATACTTACATAAATTAATAATGTAATATAAAAAATTTTATGTTTGTTTGTTTAATATAAACAACAAATTAATAATATAAATAATAAGCTGCCATACCGTTCATCAGATCGTCAAGTAATTGCTTACACTTGCGCGAAATTTATATATATATATATATATATATATATATATATATATATATATAAAAATACATAAACACTCACGCCTGTCACCCAGAGGGGTAGGCAGAGACTTCCATTTGGCACGATCCTGACATACCTCTTTCGCCTCCTTTACATCCATATATCTACGCATACATGCTCGTCGGTTAAGGGTACTTCTAACGTGGCCCCTTTTCAAAATATCGCCAATTTGGTCGATAAACTTTTTTCTAGGACGTCCCTTCCCGACTCGGCCGTTCACATCTGCGATATAAATTTGCTTTGTCACTCTTTCCTCATTCATTCTTTCTACATGATCAAACCACCGAAGCATTCCTTTCTTAATCCTGATCACAACATCATCTTGCACACCACATTTATCTCTTATCACGCAATTTCTCACCCTGTCATTCAGATTCAACCCTAGCATACTCCTTAAAGACCGCATTTCTACAGCATTTATTCTACTTTCGTGCTTCTTCTGCCACACCCAGCTTTCACTACCATACATTAAAGTAGGGACTAACACAGCATTATGAATTACCATACGTGCCTTTTTTTGACACATTCTGGTTCTTCACAATAGAGTGTAGTGCCCCATTCACTCTATTCCCTGCATTTACTCGTCGTTCTATATCCCTATCATATCTACCATCCCTGCTAAATACACATCCCAAATACACAAACTCATCCACTTGTTCAAATTAACTCTCCTTCTATTCTTATTTCACATACCGTTTTTCTTTCTTCTCTTTCAAACACCATCACTTTCGTCTGACTTATGTTCACTTTCATTCCCCTTTCTTTTAATTCCCAGTTCATTAATGTAACCATCATTTGCAACTCAGCCGCCGATGACGCAAATATGATGGTTATGTTATGTATGTTATAAATATATATATATATATATATATATATATATATATATATATATATATATATATAGTACAATTAACTTACACTGAATGGCGAACGTTTTGTGCCGGCAAATTTATTTTCAAGTTATTTAACATCATCAATATCATTCTTAATTAAACAATAAATTCTTTCCAATTCAAAATGATATTTTCACAATTATTTTTTCTGCGGAAGCAACACCCCGTTTTTATTATAAACTTTTACATTACAAAATTCTAATTATAAACATTAACTTAATTTCTATATTATAAACAATAACAACACATTATATTATAAACAAACAAATAATTCAGACTCTTTCGCCGTGCTTTGTAAGCATGTGCCCGCGCCAACTGCACTTCTGGACAAAGGCCCTACCACAGTGTTCACACTTGTATCGCCTGTCATCGGCGTGTATTCGCATATGCTCCCTCAATGTCGTTTTCCGCACGTAAAACTTGCTACAAATTCCGCACTGGAACTTCTTTATTTTCGAGTGCGTCATTTTGTGAAATTTTAAATCGTAGTTCGAGAAAAATTTCATATCACATTCATTGCACGCGTGCCGTCTCTCCATCAGGTGATCCCTTCTCACATGTATGCCGTAAGACTTCGGCTTCGCGAAAGTTTTATTGCAAGCCTGACAGCGTACCTCAGAACTGATACCGTGCACCTCTTTTAGATGATTCTCTTTCTGGTGAAAGCTCTTAAAGGTCTCGGCGCAGAAGCCGCATTTGTTTCGCATCTCGTTCGGGTGCGTGTGGACGGATTTCTCGTGCGACTTCTTCTTCTTGAGCGTGTTGAACGTTTTCGAACAATAGTCGCACTGGAATGAGCCAGTCGTGTGACAAGTCAAGTGGGTCATTAGTTGCTTCAAATTGACGTAGCCTGATTCGCAAATGTCGCAAATGAAATTTCTAAAATGTTTATGCATGTGCTCCAAGAGCATTTTAAATCTACTAAATTCACTTGAGCAAATGTAACAACGCAACGTTTCGGATTCAAACTTGAAAGGGATCCATTGATGGATGATATCAGTGTGCATGAATATGTTATGCGTAGTCTTTAGATGATCAATGATATCTTCAAGAGTATTGACATTGTGACCGCAAATGTCACATCGTAGTGAGGTTATATCTAATTTAACATAGAATGCCTTTAGCTCGCGCCTGCTTGCGAAGCTTGCTTTATAAATGCTTGTGCCTTTATGTTGGTAGATTGTATGTTTTTTCAGTTGAGCAGGATCCGCGCATTCCTCGGAACAGTAGCAGCAAACATACCCAATACCTCCACGTTTTCGGATTGGTGTGGCGTTCGACCATTTCAGTATTACTTCTATATTCGCGTAGTGTTTCTTCAATTCGACGCTATGCTTATGTCTGATTTCGTTAATATTGTAAATTGTGTTACTTTTTATGTCTTTATTTGCTGGTATGCTGCTATTAAGTAATTTCTTTACAGAATTCAATTCTTCTTTATGACGTATACCTACAACGGAAAGTAAGAATTAAGATTCGGCGTTTTCTGAAACTATAAGCTGTATATGTATGATAAAATATTTTGGAAATAATCAGAAGCATAATTTGCCTGCAACACCGCCATTTAATAAAACTTCACTATTCGAATAAATTGTCTTAGATATAGAAAATGTGAACAATTTTTCGCGTAAATGTAGACTATATATTAATAATGTTACAATTTATGAATTTATACGAGGTAGAGGTGTAGCTATATTATAGTTGTAGGACGAATGGGTCGGCTTGACCGGGGAAGAACCAGATACGAGGCATTTCATCTTAGTCTGAGATCTATAGATCGTACTTTGTCTTTGCTCAGACTTTACTTACGAAATACTTAGCTGAGTAAATGCTTAGCATAATCTTTGATTCTGAATTTATAGTTGCATCGGGCTAAGATGAAGTTAAGCTTATAAAATTCAAAAAAATTATAATTAATAATCGAAAACGATCCAAATATTTTTCATAAATAAGTTATTATTACATTTAAACAATTTTAGTTTAAAATATGAGAAAGAAACCGAACATTTGGTTAGCCGATCAAGCACTGTTAAATCACTGTTACAAACGTGCAGTTTTTGGTTTATTGATATTGTGGGCATACTAAGTTTTTATTTATATTGTAAATGCCTGTCAAATCTTTTTCTTATCACAGACTTTGGAACTTGGACTCCTGATCCCACCTATGTACAAACCCACCTACCTATTCGTCCTGCGCTTCCACTACTCGACATTCTTTGGGTTTTTCTGTAACTTAAAATAAGTTTGAAATTAATTAAATAGAAAATGGAATAATACTATTTAAAACTAGAAGACGGCCTAAATTACCTATTTATCGTTATAAATAAATAGAGTAACATAAAAATAACAATTTAAAATGAATACGGTGGTTTTGGTTAATATCCTGAGTTTTACGTAAGTATGGCTTTGCTAAGTGCGCACTCATCACGACTTCGAAGTTAGCTTTATAAATACCGACATTGTCTTACCTCGAAAGTAAAGTCTGAGCAAAATCAAAGTACGGTCTATAGATCTCAGCCTTAGCCCTCAGAGGTGACAACGCATCTGAATTTTGATTCTAAATCGAGAATAGATGTATATGCATATAGGTCACATCATCCACTTGCTATCAGGTGGACTGTGTGCTCAAAGTAATTTTATAGAATAAGGTGACTTTCGCGAACTACCCATGTCTATTTATTACACTATTATAAACTCATAGATATCTTGTCAGCTTCTGGCAGTGTTCAGAAGTTGTGAGTCTGTCTGAGCCACGAGAGATCAAAACATATCACACACACAAATGTTGCTGCTGATCATGTAGTCCAGGATTAGAATCCCGAGTCGAGCCATATCAGTTATAGATAAGGTTTTTTTTTGGCAAGAAATACTTAGTAACGTCACGGAATCAGGAAGTTGGGCAAGTAATTACTGCACCCAGCACCTTCTCATTGCTATTACGGTGTTCGCGACAACTTCCGAGTCAACATCCTTCTCAGGGGTTATATTACTAGACATTAGGGGCCCCCGCCTGTAAACCCAGAGGCCCCGTTTCTGGTAGGGAAACACCTTCGTCAAGGGGAAGGCCGTGACGATCGCTTTTGCGACGTCGTTTCCGATCGGGATCTGTTCTCGCCTGACATCGCTCTGCAGCTTCTTTCTGGACCACCACAGAAGGCGGCTACGGCCACGCTAGCTCCCTGCTTAGCATCGCCGACACAACTGCTGGCAGGGAGGGGTTCAGACCGATCCGGCTTACCAGGACCGTCCGCTTCCGTTCCCACGTTGGACGTATTGCCAGCGTATGGAGTACGGAGTTATGGTTATTTCGACTAGATAGGGCGCCGAGATAAAATACTAAAACATAAGTGCGCCGCGAGCTGAAATAGTTTGGGAACCCCTGCATTATTGTAATTGTAAGAACAGTAACTTACGACTAAAGTAAGTAAAGTTACGACCCATTTACATCCGACTGCAAGGCAAAGGCCTCCTCTCATTTGTAAGAGGGTTTTAGGGCAAGGAAGTCTCCGCCGCGCTGCCCCAATGCGAGTTGGCGGGCGTTAGTCTTCGAAATATTGTTTTAATTTCTCGTACATGGAGATTTCCCCACAACGTTTTCCTTCACCGCATGTGATAAGTCAGTGTGGCCGTGGAAGAAAAAGGGGAGATCTCCCGCCGGGCAAGGTGTTCTGCCCGGGGAGCGGCCAACACTACAAGTGATAGTTCGGAGAAGTTCTATATATACTGTCTATGATTCGGAATGTTAATAGCGCGATTTAGGCTTCGGTGTGTTTCGGTGAGCTAGTGGCGCGACGACAGCGCCGCCACATCAGCATTTGAAATTACTATTAACAATGTAATTTGTGCCGGCGGGGCTCGAACCCGTGTGGATCACGTGACATTGAGCTACGACGGATCACGTACTACACTTACACTACTTACGAGTAGTATATATTATTTTGCTCATTCCTATTTGACTGTCACGTTGGTCTACTGATTGTAAAAGTTATTATTGATCATGAGGTTCCGGGTTGGACCAAAATCGATTATTGGCTTTTCTGTCAAAAAATTCTCAATAGCAGCCCAGAGTCAGATATGTGGCGGTGTTTCATACACCCGCTTCACTCGGAAATCACGTGAAGCCGTTGGTGCTGCATCTGATATTTCTCCGGTTGTGTTGAATCGTGACGTTCGGTTTCTTTTTCATATTTTTAACTAAAATTAGTTAAATGTAATAATAAATTATTTATGAAATACAATTTGTATTGTTTTTTCAATTCAAAAATATAATTATTTTTGAATTTTATAAGCATAGCTTAATCGTAGCCCGATACAACTATAGATTCAGAACTTTATGCTAAGCGTATACTCAGCTAAGATTTTCGTAAGTTAAATCTGAGCAAAGTCAAAGTACGGTCTATAGATCTCAGCCTCTTCCACGTCTAAGTCCTCAAGGGTAAAAACCCATCTAAATTTTATTTATTAGTCAAAGATATATGTAAATATCCATGGGCCACGGCTTCCACTTACCATCATATGGACTGTGAGCTCGTTTGTTAACCTCATTCTATTAAAAAATATCAGTCAAAGACTGGTATTCTGTAAGATCGCGGATACTTCTCCAGTCGAGTCGACCTATTCGTACTGCAACTGTTACAGCTGTAGTGTCTACGTTTACGTTGTTTATATTTAAAATTAAATAAAGTATATTTAATATATTATTTGTTTAATTAACGTTTTTGCTCAATTCGTAGCAACTCCCCATTTTGGTCGTCTAACTATTCGAAATTTAAAACCAAACTATTTATTAATCAGTTTTTATTTTATACTACAACTAGCTTGCCAGGCAGACGTTGTTCTGCCCTTTTTGACGACCCATTATCATGTCCTATTAAAATCCTTTAATTCGCAAAAAAAAAACTCTCAAGTTGACAGAACTGCACACGGTGTGCAAATTTGATTAAAATCGGTTAAGTGGTTTAGGAGTCCATCACGGCCAAACAACGTGACACGTAATTTATATATATTAAGGTTATAAAACCTTGAATAAAGTCTAATGAAGAAAAATAACAAATATTTGAGACGACAAAAATAACAAGGATAAATAAAAACTCGACAACAATTTGTCTAGATTTGTACACCATGCTCCGCGCGTATATGTTCAAGCCAATTGTATGTCTGTACGAAAGCCCGATCGCAGGCCGCGCATTTAAATCGCCTATCGTAACTTCCGACAGTGTTCACATTGAAACTGCTTAACACAGGTATGCTTCAACAATTGTACCTCTAGAACGGTCGAGGAATATAATATCATATCAAATTCTCTACACTTGTGTCTCCTCTATAATAAAAGGTCGTAATTGACGTGGGTCCTGTACGCATCTAGACTGGTGAAATTACCGTCGCATGTATAACAATTCAAGGTGGTAGAAGTCACGCCACGTTCATCGGTCAAGTGCTTCATAGGTCAAGTTCTTCTTTTGATAGAATCGGAAGGACTACAAGTAGTATGGGAATTTTTTATAGTGCTACTTGAGTGTGTACGCGTTTTTCGTGATATTTCTTCTTTTTTACGGTGTTAAACACTTTCTGGTAGTAAGCATAGTTGTTTTATGTGTTTTATGTGTAGTAGTTTTATGTGTTTCCGCATGCGTAAATAATTTCCACATATTAAAATAGCCATCGTCTCACACATCGCAAATATAGTTCATATATTGTGTGTGATATATGTATATATAATACTTATTGAACTTGTTCAGGCAAATGAAGCAACGAATCTGTTCAATGTCAAATTCGAATGCAAAGACATTTAAATAGGTAGTAGTAATAGACCGGACATCAGTAACAAAATTGTCGCCCGTAACTATTGTCCTATAGGATATATCTCCGATATTTGTCATTTAGTTTAAGTGAGTGAGTTTCATAAATTTAAAAAATATTTTTAAAGAAAATATGCCCGGTTGCGCATTAATGTATTGTAAGTCACGATATGGAGCAAAAAATGAACGTGATTTCGGTTTATTATCGTAAGAATAATGTGTATTTACCAAATAATTTTTAAATTTTATTATTTCTAGTAGATTGTTCTAGAAGAAAGAAAAATTATTATAACAAGTGCCCTCTGTTATCCAGTAACATCACTATTTATTTACAAATATGTTAGTGATTAACGATGTGCCTACAACGGATTTTTACCTTATGTTTAGTGGCGTCACCTACTGGGAAATAGCTAAAATGTTTTCTAAATAAATATTCAGTCTAGTATTGCTATATTTCGCTAGAGGGTGTAATACATGCGCGTGGTAACAGCTTTTGTATGCAAATGTTCCCAATGTGCGCTCTA